CGCCCACTTTATGAGAATCTCATATTATCAAATTCTTTTTGCTCGCGAAAATTACCAACAAAGAAATATTAACAGTCCATTCACTTTAAATCCAGCTATCCTTTGAACTTTATTTCAAAAAAATACTAAGAGTATTTCACCCGTACTTCAACAAGAAACACAGAGCATCTCGAATACAACCGTTCACCATGAAAACTATATATATATATATATATATATATATATATATATATATATATATATATATATATATATATATATATATATATATATATATATATATATATTTATATATATATATATATATATATATATATATATATATATATATATATATATATATATATATATAGTTTTCATATACATATAATATATTATGAGTTCTCGGCAAAAAAAGAGACCTACTATGATTATAATCTTCATCACGACTCTATAAAATAACAGATGTTAATAAATTTCATGCCAAAAATTCTTATATCCTCCGTCTAAGTAGGTTAAATGTTTGACCAACACCATAAGCAGGAGTGTGTAACTGCTGAAATAACTTATGAAATATATATGATATTATACAGAAAGTGGATATTAATACTACAATATGAAAATATAAAAATTACTAAAAAATAACCAACAGCGATAGAACCGATAGACTAGAATTGCCGGACCACAGATAAATGTCACCGAAAAACAAAGAAGCTAAAAGAGTAAACCACTGTAGAAACAAATGTCATACCGAGCAGGTAACATAAAATGTCGATTAAAACTTAGGGGTTGTTCAAGGTCTCATTTGAAATGTTTTGAAAGTAAAAAACTGTAAATGCAACTGAGTCTAATGTCCGTACTCTTATTGATGCTATTAACATTTTTATTCATGAGGACCATTTCCAAGAAATTTTTTTTTTGGTAAGCGCCAGTCACATCCGGTACACTGAAATTCAAAATTAAACCGATACCCATTTTTTGAGGAATGTAGTGCTAAGGCGCATCTATCAGGGTGTGTTACATCACTTTTGTGGAGGGTTATTCTAGTCTGATATTGAAGATGGAGGCACTTTATGTTTCAATATTGTAAAAACACTTTTGCCAGTTATGTTATTGTATTTGGCAAGTTTAAACTCGTCTATTTCACCGAGAATTTGACACAATTTTTCCGTGAGAGAACGAAAATATGGTAAGAATCTATAGTCGATTGACGTAGCCTGTGAGTAAATGTGTAAGCTCTACTCTGCATTAAGATTGGTTCTAGAGGTGGGGAACGGTGGTCTGATAACAGTACTCCATAGTATCTTCTTCACAAGCGGTTTTGGATATCCATTGTTACTCAGGACTACTTCCAAACGGACTACTAAACTGTGACAGTAATCTGTATGTACGATGTTCATAATTCTGTTTTTTAGGTTACTGATTATATTCAGCTTCATATTTGTTATGCGTTATGATGAGATCGGAAGTGTAGATATCTACCTGAAGAAGATGGCTTGTGATACCAATCTAACTTGATAATATTGCCCTCGGATCTACTCCTTTCATTATTATATATATATATATATATATATATATATATATATAATAAAAAATGATTTATATATATATATATATAAAAACTTTCAAAATAAAAAATATATATATATATATATATATATATATATATATATATATATATATATATATTTTATATATATATATATATATATATATACTAGCTGACCCGGCAAACTTCGTACCGCCTTCTAAACCAATGAATGTAGTGACTCTGGTGGTGGTACTAATGGCGTCAATTTGACTTGGCCGCTGGTGCAACACAATCCAGAGGCTTCATTTTTGAATTTCAATGCATTGCAATGTGGACACACAATATTCATTAGTCCAATAGCAACAATTTGCTCTGAACTGTAATCAATTGTCACATTATAGCTGAATGCAGCTCTGTGGGGATTAAACACAACATTTCTATGTTGATTTCGATTCCGTTGAAGTTCATTTCGCGCTTCGCGTTGCTCATCAGTTTGATTTGCTCTTACCTATATTTCTTTGACTTGCCGTATTTCGAGTTCTGCGGCCTAAGTTTGTACGTCTGGTTGGTGGCATTGTTAAAAACGAAAATCCAACTGAAAATATATTTTCTGTATAATCATGTAAAATTGTAATATTGTGTAGTCACCAAAAGTTACCAAAAATCGATATGAAGTGAAGTGAACTTACCGTGATTAACAAAAACCTATTAGCAAACAAAAAACTTCTTAGTCTTTAAAACAAAACGAACTTTATCAAAAACCTAATAAAATTATTGTTAGCGCGGTTATGGATGTGTTGTCACAGATTACCACAGATTTTTTTGTTTTAAATTGAATGACGTTGACATTTGTTAGCGTGGTTATCGATGTGGTGTCACAGATTACCACAAATTTTTTGTTTTAAATTGAATGACGTTGACATTCTTTACGCGCGTTTTTTAAAATATGCAGAATTAAATGTATATTTTTCAATCTTTCTGAGAGATTTTCTTCATTTTTTTCCCGTAAGAACCTTGTACAGAGTTTTAGAAAAGTACAAAAAAAAAATCAGCCAAATCGGTCGAGCCGTTTTCATGTTATGTCGTGACAACGGAAAACGGGTTTCATGTTTATGTATATAGATATATAAACTCTTGCTTGATGCCTAAAACTTGACAATTTAAGCAATATTCTTTTTCATTGAATATTTCAAGATATACATCTTTATAAATTCCACTTGAATTGTTTCGAACGAATATTGAAATCAAACGGATACGTTCTGTTAATTGACTTAACTTTCGTTGACGCTTGATAATGTGTTGCCAAATTATCAAGTTAACCCTCACGTTATTAATTATAGTAAGAATAATAACAGTTCATTATGAAGAATGATTCTGTATGAAAAATTCATACAAAAATCTATAGACCTTCATTAACGTTATTAACATTTATTGTTGTTTAAAATGATCTGAAATAATCTACGCTTGAATACGTTGAGGTCACTTATAGTCTTCATGTAGCTGGGGGTTAATAGAATGGATTGAATCCTTCACAACATGCTATAATTTTTGATAATTTTGATAATTTCATACAAAAATCTATTGAGCTTCATTAACGTTATTAACATTTATTGTTGTTCAAAATGATCTGAAATAATCTACGCTTGAATAAGTTGAGGCCACTTTAATCTTCATGGAGTTAGATGTTAATAGAATGAATAGAATCCTTCATCAAATGTGAGGGTCCATATTTTTGAATACTGTATTGATACGTTCGTATCTATGTGATAATAACTCATAGTATTATAGTGGAAATATAATTTGAGACTGTGAGGTCGGGCAGTGGAAGGCTCTGAGTTTGAAGGGTAATAAACGATTCATCTGGATTTCCGAAATCTTACAAAACCTATAGAAAGAAGTTGAATGGAAGAGTTATAGGTAATAAAAATATCTGGTACCTTTGTATGTAGAAGTTTCTCACATAACATCATGTGAAAAAGTCATGTAAAAATTTCAAATAACCAAGTTTTCAGTTTTCTATTTCAAGAGAAAATTATTCCTTTCATAAACTCTGCAGGCTGAGTTACTTTAAGTGAATAGTGACAAATTTTTGGCATATCCTCAGAAAATTAATAAAAATCTGTATTTGTTCACACCATCAGATAGGAAGGATTACAACGAACAAAAAGTCCATCGACTTTTTTGAAAAATAAGATATTTTGAAGCGAGGATTTTCGATTGGAAATGAGTGTGTTTATCCATATTGAATCAAAATGAGGTGAAACAATTAATTTTTAAAATCGCAAAAATCACAGTATGTTTGCAGCATGAAAACTTCAGTTTTCATCAAATTTTGTGCGAAAACAGTTATCGATATAAGAACGTTTTAATCCCTTCCACTTACCGGGACTTCAGATCTTCAGTGATTTTTTTTCCTTTCATTTTTATTATACTCCTTAGGTTTGTGATGAGTTTCATCCTATATCCATTTTTTTTCACTTTTCACCGTTTTCAGAGGCCTGATCTAACAATCCTTCTGAATTCAGAAAGCTCACAAGATGGCAGTGTTTCTGGTATGGAAAGTGGGGACACCACTGACACATGTTAATTTTTTTACTCAACATTTGAATAACTCATTTCTAATTAGAAATAATTTGAAATTTGAATATATGTGTAGCACAAATTAGGCAATTTAATATGCGATGGATCAATTACATCCCAAAATTGTTCGTATAGCCCTATTCTGGAATTTTTGTACCAGTTGGGTTGTTTCTCAAACTGAATAACAGAGTGCCACAATGTTTTATGGTCCAAGAAGCGTTGTGCGAGAGAACAATTCTCAATCATACCTAAGGTATGTATTTGTATGTGAAATGTTGCATCATCGAAAATTGTGTTTTCAAATTGAAATTCGTAGCGAAACGATAAAAACAAATATCAATCACGGTTATTCACTTTCATCTCTGAAAGTGAACAATTACATCTGAAAAGCAGAGTCCAATTGTTGAATAACATATACGTATCCGTGCAAACGATCGCGATACATTGAAAGGATACACGTTAGAGGGAATAATTCATTAACAATTCTACGCAATATGAAGCCAGCTTTATCAACTCAGGACTTTATAAAGAAAAGTATTTGTTTAAGGTCCAAAGTAAACTAATTTTAGAGAACCCTTTTATGCTATGTGTGCGAAGCTGGCAGGTTTGTACACATTGGAGATTACCTGTCCTTTGGGCTCGGAATATCTTGTTAGTCGATATGAAAATTTCAGAACGATATTTTCTTTTCAAAGTGAACATATTGAAGAATTTCTAGCAGATTTTTTTTATCTTTTCGCAGCTGTAGAAATGACTTCAAAAGCTTTACTGAATATATCTAATGCAACTGAAAATATGGTTTAATACCTGAGTGAGTTTTTGAATAACTATATTTTTGCGACAAAGAAAGATTTCATATCCCTGCATAACTTCATTTTCACTCGACATGTTAAGTCCGGCGTTTATAGTTGCCCTACGTGGCTTAGGCGGGAGAACACTCGACTGTGGTGCGGTACGATTCGAGTTCGAGTCCCGATGAGGGCTTGGGTGTATGTGTTTGGACTATGATTTAAGTAGATCAATAATGATAATTTTTGGGTAATGTACAGTAAAAGCCCCATATTCGCGCTTCCTTTATTGGCGTTTTCAGTATTCGCAAATTGAAAAAATGGAACCAAATTTTAATATTCGTTGCAATAGATTTCTTTATTCTTTATTACAAAAAATATAGACTTCGAGCACATCTAGTTTTGGATAATGCATAATGCGTATTTCATCAATGCTATATTATTCACAAAGGAGGTGATTTTTTCCAGTGAGTATTTTATTCTTAGAATCGTTACTTAACTTTCATTATAATGAATACATAAAACATCACCACTCAACCATATATAAATATTAAAGGTATCAGATGTAATCCTATTAAATCTTATATCAATATTAAAATCAATTATGGATATCATGCTGTAAATGAGAAAAATAGCAATAGGAATGTTTCAGCTCCTTAGGTACATCATAATCATTTGTAATATTAGGAGAAATAAAATTTTCACATGAAATTTTTGCTTTTAGTGAAGGCTCAAATCAAAAGCAGAATGTCCTATGTGTTCTCTAGAATTTTGTTTTATTTCAACTACGAGAGTGAATCAATTATTAATACCCAAGAAGTTTTGAAACCTTGACATATGGAAAAATCTTGCATATGAAGAAGAAAATATAGCATTTAGTTATTTCAAAAAGTTATAAAGTTTCGTATTTATTTCAAGATATGAACAGTTGAAATGATTTTGGTGTTCAAATTTGCACAAATTTGCTCATATATTTTCACTTTTGATGTTATTAGAAGAGATCCGTAATAAAAAGTAATATAAAAACAAGAAAAATACAAATGGAAATGAATATCTGAAACTATACACAGTGACAATAAATTTCTTCATGCGGTTAATGATGCTTCACTAATTAAAAATGAAAATGTTGAATACATTATTGGAATCCTCGAAAGATTCGACAAATTTTTCAGAAATAGGAATGTTTTTCTCTGAACTGAATGGAATATTCGAATGTGATTGACTGTTTGCCAAGAATTTGCTGTGGCAAATGAACATAAAATCAAATCAGTACATGTAGACTATATGTTAAATACTTTATAAATTCCATATATCGAACTATAATATTAATTATAAAACATAAAATTTTCATATTGTGTTTTCAAAGTTTAGGTTCAAGTTTTTCATTATGAAGTAACAGAAAATGATCTAAGCCTAAAAAAATCAAAATAGTTGAGTGGGCACAACTTACTAAGCCCCAGCAGTACAGTGACTTCTTAGTCCTATTTTTGTATTTGTCGGCTGAACAAATTTGTTTCAAAATTGCGAGTCTTGCTTTCTGGTAAGTGTTTGACAAAGTTGTTACATTTTTTATAAGGTTCGTGTGTCTTAATAACAACGTATAAGGGAGTGTAATACGTTTAGCTATTGTTAACTTGATACAATTAATATGAGATACCACTTATTTGGGTTGAAGGCATCAAATGATAGTAAGCTGCACGTATTTTAAGTTACCATTTTTAATTTTACTTAGATATTAACGCTTTGGTGGTTGGTACTCGACTCTTATTCCTACTTCTGCCAATATTTCAAACAAAGTTAACAGTGGTGTTTGGTTCACATCTGTTTTCCAGCACTCCACACAATTCATTTGTTTCACTGTTTATATCGATTTCTTGTAAGGTAGATTTTCGGCCGCATGTTTTGGGTCTTTTTGCCCTTCAATATTTCAAAACACTCGAGTTCTAATTACTCGTAGTAATCAAAGGCATTTCGACACTCAACTCTGTTCTATCACTTGTCCATATTTTGTTCACTCGAGAAAAAAATCCTTTCAATGGGTGTGTTACTTCCAGGCAAAGTACATAGTACATACTCAATAATTATGGAAACGTTCGTTGAATGAAGATTATTAGTACAAACGCGGTGGAATAAATAATTCGACACAATGTTTTACATAAGAAACATTCTGGGCATTCCAGCCAGAAAATTTTTTCATCTGTCGCAAAGTTGGAAATAAGTTGAAAGACTTCTATCTTGATTGCTGCTAATACATCCTTGCGTAATCAATGAATCCTGCAATTTTGTATACTTCTCTCCACGCGTGCACTTTTGCTTAATTTGCCCATATAAACATTTCTAGTTTTGAGTTGAATTGACACCAATGGTTCTTCTTTTCTTGTTTTATAAAACTCATCAGGTCAGTTTTTGTATTCTGCTGGTTTACAGCAGATTTTCTTAAATGTCATTTCATAAACATGGTACAGACGATGTGGAGAAGAAAAATCGTACTATCTTTAGATTCCAGGTATCTCGGAGGCGACTGATTTATTCAGCTGACACTATGGCTGACACATGTTCCCTTCGATTTTCTACACAACTTCATGAAAAAGAGTGCTTGTGTATGCAGAAAATGAAACCACAATTTTGAGCTAGGTTTTCACAAAACGTCTTCTAATTATTTCGGCATATGTCGATACTAAAAAATAGTTCTTCAAAGGCTGAAAAATTATTATAATTCTCCCAAGTACTGGAATCAACGCAAGCTACTTCTTTTCACTGTAGCCGAGTAGTCTCCGTACAATAACAAAGCTATTAAAAAAAATTTTTTCAACTCAATCTATCCTTCATTTAATTTCATTCTGGAATCAGAAATGAACCAAGTTATTTGCTTTTTGGATTTACATATAAATCGTTCCCTTCATTCCCTAGTTTCTGACATTTACAGAGAGCCAAGTTATTCAGACATAATAAAACAAAACACAAGTTGTCAGTCGCAAAAAATAAAAATGAGTGCCTTCCATTCATTAGTTCATAGATTACTTTCACTTGCGTTGTCTGCTGCTAATTTCGAAAAAGATTGTTTTGTAATGGAAAAAATTACTATTAACAATGGTTGAAAATCCTTCTTTATCAAAAATAAACAGGCTAAGATACTACTGCAGAAAATTTTTCCTATTCACTTAGAAAAACAACAAAAAATATTCCATTCAGTTAATAACATACCTAACTTGAGCAATAAAATTTGTAGAATACATAAAAATAACGTGAATGCAATACACACCAACAAAAAAGAATTTGGGTTCATTGTTGGTAAATAACAAGGACAAACTTTATTTATTTTCGAATATAAAATATTTTTCAGTAATGTGATAGTTTTTACATAGGTCAAACAGGACGTTCTATAAAAAAACTCGATGAACATGAAGATCAATGTTATTGAATGAACCTAATACGGGTTTTTCTGAACACTGCATTAAACATTATCATTTCTTGGATCCCAGGAAGACCGAAATAGTACACTCAGGTAGTACGGGCAAAAGATTAGATACCGTTGAAATCTTTGAAATTTCGAGAGCAGAAAAGAAAAATTTACCTATTTGCAATAACCAGGTGGATTTTTCCGTGAAACCAATGTTAAATTCTGTGGTTTAGAATGTTTAAGTGAAAGCAATACATTTTGAAATTCAGTAATATTGATACTCTTGATAATGGGTAAACCACCCGAAATATATGTTGAGTTTTTAATGTATTCAGTAAAATTTAAGTCAAGTGTGTTAATTTCAATTTATTTTATTTTAAAGCTTCTAATCGAACGATATAGAAGTGGAAAATCCTTTTACGATCTTTTCACTATGATTGAACTTTAGAATTGGATGTGGACTCCACATCCAATTCCAAATCAATGAATAAGTATTTCAAGAAAAACTGAATTCAGGGAAAACACATTTTAAAACGTTCGGTCTGCTTTCAGAAAAACGACCATCAAGTTACCATTGCACTACTTCATTCAGTGTTTCCTTCTGTGAAAAAGTATTTTTAATCAAAGCAATATAACACTTTTCGAACACTTTTAAATATCTTTGAACTCCCCCTCCCCCAGGCATTGTGGGTCTTCCTTAGACCGGACAAAAATTAATCAATAGCATGTTTTGTCTCAAATCATATTTCTAGTTCCGGAAAGACAAAACAATTTGAAGGTCATGGAGTGCTCGATAATAGGTTTATTTCCTTCCAACTGAACGATAATAATTAAATGAGATGGCGCCATCGCAACGGAGAAGACGGAATGATTAACAGTAGACAAGAATGATTTGTTATTCTACTACGCATTTTAATGAATAGTTCCAGACAAGGTACCCGACTTTCAGGAGCAGCAATCGATACGATCAATAAATACGATTTCTATTATCTTTAAATTTGCATTGTCGTTGTAATTAATACATATTAACACTGAAATGTAGAAATTTAATGGATTATTTCAATACGTCCGAAGCATTCCAAACGATAGAAACTATTTAAAATATATTTTAATGTTCCATTTGGAATGCACTTTGAATTCTGATAGAAAATAAAACGTAATAAAAATTCTAAAAGTAATCGAATTGTATTTGTTTCTCACCCACTAAAAAGATGGAGAGATAAAACGAATATCACTTCATGTTTAGAATATTCAGACATTGTAAAATGTCTTGCAGTATGTAGCTAATGAATTTGATTTGAAATTTTGCAAGATGCAGATCTAGTTCATTATAGCAAAAATGAATAATTATGAGTGAAAGGTTCATTCGAAGTGGCTAAAAATATCATAGCACCTAAAACTTACAGATTAATATAATTCAATATTGTCATAACTTATTTCGACGAAATCGCACAAATTCATCTTCATATAGCGAGTCCTTTCTATTTACTGGAATTCTAGTGAGAAATACAGGAAATACTGCCATTAACGTTGTTCAAAGTACCTACCCACGCAAAAACACTAGATACCCTTATGATGTCAGTTTATATTTGCGACAAAGGCATCCGCAGTTTCGTCTGCTCCAATCTATTTGAAGTTGAGCATCCCAGTCTCCAGAGTATGTAATATTTATACTTATAGTCTATTTCAGACGCACTATGCAAAGAAAATGAAAACCATCCTACCAGTGCATTAAAGTGTTAATCACGTAAGTGGCATCTGGCGGTCATAACTCTCTATTTCATGACTGTTCCTGC